TCCACCGCCTTCTCAAAGTTGCCGTAGTTGTAATAAATCGTTCCAAGCGAGCAGAAAAGACGCCCTGCGTGAGGTTTATTCCCCACGCGAAGAGCCGCCAACGCGCACATTTCTACATCTTTTGCCTCACAAATCCCCGTTTGATTAATATTCCCATTATTGACTAATTCTCTTTGTGGTTGTTGGGGGTTGTTATTGCCATCCAAAATGGTCTCTCGACGGTTTGTCAAGATGATTGGAAAGCATTCGGCGCCGCGCAAGAGCGAGATTACACTGCGAGCCAGCGGCAACCCGATTGGTGTGCCTTCCAAAGGTGAAATGTTAAAATCCTCCGGCGCGGTAAAGCGGAGCGAGGAAACGAGCGCGCAAAGTCGCGCCGGAAAAGGTTCTACGCGTAGTTTTAAAACCGTATCGCAGTTTGCAGAGATGCTTTTAAAAGGGAGCTTGGGGATCGTTTCGGCAGTGTGCGTAAATAAGGAAGGAATGGAGGCAATGGTGCGATTAATGCGAAAGAGCTCGTCGCGGGAGAGTAGCGTGCGATCCTCCGAGAGAGCCATCAGATACCGTTTATTGTTTGAGGAGACTAAAATACGCTTGCCATCTTTATTCGCACTTCGCTGTCTACCATCTTTACTTTTTGGAGGAGGGTGTGGTTTGGAATCCATTTTTATGTGTGCGGTTGGCTATTGGGTAATTAGGTAAAAAATATACAAAGGTAAGGAACTCTCTATCCCCAAATAAATCAATATTTGAGAATTTAGTAAATAATAGATTCATTCAGCAAATCAATAGAACCAATAATAATAATAAAGTATGCACCTTTATAAAGAATTCGTGTATACTCTATATCACAGACAAACTAAGATTCACTCTACTGAACAATGAATGGTTGTTTATTCACCTTTTATTTGTTCAACCTGTTAAAAAATTAGAACATTTTCATCTCATTGTAGCACTATAAGAGATGGAAAATCATCTGCTCAATCTTGGAATTGTTGTTTATTCAACAGTATATTCAAAACTAGGGCTTAGACCTTCTTGTTTCTTTTTTCTTTCAGGTGTTGGAGTTTCATCGGCATAAGTGTAATTTTATTTGGTCAACAGGGATGGATATACGCATATAGAATCAATAATGGTTCCGCATGTTTTTAAGAGTTTAAACATGTGGCAACCCTTTGAAGTTTCATTCATATACGAATGAGTTCCTTTTTTTCCCTTTCTTAAGTATATATATATATATATATATATTTGCAATAAAATACACAGCACTCTGTAAATGAGACGAAAAAGAGCAATGCGTCATACTACATTACAGAGGTTCGGAAAGAAAATATAAAGGATCATTTAAATTTGGTTTCCTTCTTTTCTTTTTCCCCTTAAAATCATTTTATATTTATTTACATTAGCTCCGGTTCGCCCTCTACTGCAGTATCTTCTTCATATCGCAACAACTCATCTTTCATCGCTTTGCGGAGGTTTAAAAACCACGCGTGGAAGTCCTTCGTCTTTCCCCCAATACGATACACAAGTACCTTTGTATAACCTTCTACCACGGGCAATAAACGCACCCCCACTTCCAGAATTTTCCTATTGTCCACTATATGTGTACCGTATAAAAAGCCATACGAATTCCCTTCCTCAAATTTTGTCGCAAGCGATTTCTGTTTAGCAAGAAGCTGCACCTTAATCTCCGTGCGAGACCCTGCTACGGTATAACCAGTATTCAAATACGCCTTAAAGGAGCGGTGTTCGGTAAAATCGAACAAATCATCGAGATGACGAAGCCGAATCGCGAGCGTGTGGTTTTTCAGCAAATCATACCTTAAGCACATCCCCACAAAGCATTCAAAGGTGATCTGGAGCTTCCCTTTATGGTCCGGATCGGCGGACTGAAACAAGGTATTAATATCCTCCTCAGTAAAGTCAATCCCGAGCGCGGCGAGGTTCTTGCGCGAGATCACCCCACTGTGCTGGGTGTCTATCGTGTCAAAAGCCTTTCGGATCTCCTCCAGAAACTCCTTCTCGAGGTCGTAGTGAAAGAGGTTCACCATCTTCGCCAGGTTGTACTTCTTCCCGAGCAGGTTCTGGTGCTGGGTCCAGCCCACGACGAAGTCCTCCTCGGTGATCCGGCCTTCCGTATCGCAGTGGAAGCAGTCCATAAAGCGCCGGACCTCCTCCTCCGAGACGGGCTCCTCGCCGTTGAGCTTAATTAAGGCGTCGCGGACCTGCTGCCGCGAGAGGAAGCCGTCCTTGGTGACGTTGCAGCTCAGGAAGGCCTGGTGCAGCTCCGCCGCCTTCTCAGAGGTCGGGGAGAGGGAGGCCGTGCAAGGGGAGCCCGCGCTGTTGGGGGAGCCGCTGACTCGCTGAATAAAGGCCTCGTCGGGGCTCACACACGAGAGCGAGGGGTCCGGGGAGGGGGCCTCGTCCGGGAAGAGCCCGGGCTCCAGGTCCTGCGCGAACCACGGGTCGTGAATGACATCGCGGGTGGTGTAGCGCTTCGCGGGGTCGCGCTCAAGCAGCCGTTCAATCAGCCGCGCCGCGTCCTCCGGGAGGTAGCGGTTGCGGCGGTTGTACTGGCAGCTCAGGATGCGCTTCCGCGTCAGGCCGTCCGTGAGGTCGGTGAAAGGGAGGTAGCTGCACAACATGAAGAAGAGAATGCACCCACAGCTCCACATATCACACGCGCAGCCCTCGTACCCGCACTTTTTGAGCATCTCCGGCGCCTGGTAGTCGAGGCTCCCCGCTAAGGAGGTCAGCATCACGGCGCTATCGTTGAAAGTCCCCTCGGTGGTGTATCGGGAAAGGCCGAAATCGCACACTTTTAGGATATTGCCTTCGCCGAGAAGGAGATTTTCCGCTTTTAGATCGCGGTGCGCGATGTGGATGCGATGACAGTAGTGTACGGCGTGGATCAGCTGTTGAAAATAGTTACGAGCGACCTTCTCGTCAAAGCGTTCGGAGTCGACAATTTTATCAAATAATTCCCCATTTGGTGCGAGTTCCATCACCAAATTGTACGCATCAGGGGTCTCTATCGCTTCTAGAAGTCGTACAATATGCTTGTTATCGATTTTACGCATCATATCAATCTCCCGCTCGACATATTCCTGAGTGCCCTGTCTTTTTACAATTTCCTTGTCGATTCTTTTCACCGCCACATTCTTATTATTCTTCCGATCAAAGGCAAAGTAAACTTTTCCAAAGCCCCCGCTTCCGAGTACGTGTCCTATTACTATATGCTTCACAATAACTGTGGAAACAATCTTCTCAAGCCTTGAAGACTGCCGCCGTGTGGCAGGATCGTTGGCTCCATTCTTCTTATCAACCTTTTCAGTCTGCATTGAGCAGGGCATCCAAAGTATCCTAATATTGAAACCTATCCTTTAAATTAATCCACTGAATTCTAATAGAGCAAATGACGAGTCGGCTAATCGGCGTACGGGGTAGTTTAGCAGTGTATGTGCTCAAATCTTTATTCATTGATATGGAATCCTTTCCTCCCAAAAAGACCTTTCTAGAAAAACTTTTTTTGGGATAAAAAATTTCATCGAAAGACAATAAGATAATGTGTGTGTGTGTGTGTGTGGAGGGGGGAGGGAGGAGGGAGAGTATGAACGACCAGAATATCATTCGAGCGATTTAAATGAATTATACACGCAGTGTAGGGGGATTTTAAGATCGTAAAAATATTTAGACTCTGTGTACAGAGAATATATTTTTAGAAAGAAATTAAAGACATACTAATGCAAATATGCTCATTTTAGTAGTCTTCCACGCAAAAAAAAGCGGAAATGTTTATTCATTGTCTTAATCGTTGATCAAACGAAAAAGAGCAATGATTGTAAACAATGTAGACTAATTTATCCAACAGTTCCTCTCAGATTCTATGTTATTATAATAAAATAAGCCAAGCCAAAAAATTAATCTTGAGGCAGCTATACCATATTTAAAATGGATCTATAAGATACCTCCCTATTAAAGCTGAACTTGCTCAGTTCGAAACCGACGGCGATTTCCCCCTTCTCCACTTTCCTCCCCCATCGCTGTTGCCCATTCTCTTTTAACGGAGTGCATTAAACGATGCAGCGCGGATGAGTAAAAGTAATTTTGGGTAGACATATACCATACGTTAAACGCGTTCTGTGGAAGCTTTCGAATATTCTCGCCGATATTTTCCTCCTTAAACCCTGTATCGTATCCAAGCAAAAATATTTGCCGCTGAAGCTCTGGAAAGCTAATTTTGCCCTTAAAGGTGAGTTGTTGTTCAGGGCAATTATACTGCTCGATTTTCCACTTCGCAGCCCGCAGAGAGTCTTTCTTTTCCTGAAATTTTCCCTGCGCCTTTTGAATTCGCTTCTCTAATTTATCAAACATGTGAACACACTGCTCACCCCGTTCGAGCAGCGCGTTGACGTAATCGCGGACCTCGGCAACGGTCTTCTCCGGCGTGTTGAGCTCTGCCGTGATGGCGTCATAGTCGTGTATATCCACCTTGCCGCTGATTAAAACTTTAATTAATTGACGATATTCGTGGAAAGTCCAGGTTGGAAAGCCTTCGCTGAGTAATCGCTCGCGTTCCTCCAGCTCGGTCGCGGTCAAAGTCTCATCCGCGTTATCCCCCCCCTCCTTGTTCGGCGCCTCGGCGTCCGGCTCCTCGCCGGTGTTGTTCTCTGAGTACTTTCGCTTCCAATTCTGCACCATCAACCCCACTTCGGTATTATGCAGCTCGAGCAGGCGTTTCGCGTTAAAAAGATGAAAATGATGAAATTTCGGTGCTTTGGGCAGTTTTAACGGCGGCGCCTTCGAGGCTTTGGTTTGGATCTGCTCGACATCAGCCTCGGTGTATGGCGTCATCGCCACGCGCGCGCGGTGCCCGCGGCCGAGTTTTTCCCCCGCTCCCAACCCTTCCGAGATCATCTCGCTCGGGACGATGGTTTGGGCTTCTTTGCTGACAAAGGCGGCCTCGTAGGGCAGCCCCGACTTCGCGTCGATCGCGCCGTTTAGCGTGCGATATTGCACGAGGGCCTCTTTTAAGTTGGGGTGGAGAACCACGCGGAGGACCTCGCCGTAGGCCGCGCATTGCGCCTCCAGCCTCGCTTGTGGGATGGCGTCGGGGAGCTTGAGATGCAAAATGCGCGATTCCAGCCCGGAGCGAAAGGAGATGCCCTCGAAGTCGTAGATGTTCGCCTCGTCGGCGCCGAGTTTGAAGCTCGTGAGGGACATCTGGACGGTCTGCTTCGCCTCGTTGTTGATGTTGGAGGACTTGGCCTCGCCTTCGTCAAGGAGGCGGTCGATGTCGGCCTCGGTGATGTCGACATGCCGCGTGCGAAAAATCTCCTCCGCGCCGAAGCGAATCATCGACAGCAGCTCATTTCGCGAGACCCCGTTGGGATTTGCGTTCTGGGTATTCGAAATGCTCGAGCTTAGGTTGCCCTGCTGGACGACGAGGGCGTTTAAATAAAGTTTTTTCAGCGCCCGGCGGTAAATGCGCTCCTCGATGGTGCCATCGGTCACGAAGCGGTAGACACGGACGCTGCGCGTTTGCCCGATGCGATGCGCGCGATCCTGCGCCTGAAGATCCATCTGCGGATTCCAATCCGAATCGTAAATAATGACGTGATTGGCGGCCTGGAGGTTAATCCCTAATCCCCCCGCGCGCGTGGAGAGGAGAAAGATAAAGGACTCCCCGTTCGGGGAGTTGAAGGTCGCCATATAGGAGTCCCGGTCGTAGCTGCTCGTGTTGCCGTCAATCCGACAGTAGCGAAAGCCGCGCATATTGCAGTAGTCCTCTAAGATGTTTAACATGGACGTGAACTGGGAGAAAATCAGCACTTTATGCTTTCCCTCCACATCCCCTTTCAGGCGGTGGAGTAGTTTGTCTAAAATCAACATCTTGCCGGAGGCTTTGACGAGTTTTTCATCCGTAATAAACGGCGGCCCTTCCTCGCCACCGTCCATTAAATACGGATGATTAATCACCTTGCGCAGGCTCATCAAAACGGAGTTTAGATAAGTTGTATTGCTCGATGTCCGATTCAACGCCTCGGAGTCTTTCGCGAGGACGTGAATATACCACTCCCTCTGTTTTTTTGTTAGTTTGCAGGAGACGTAAATCTCCTTTTTGGGGGGGATTCCCGTGTTGACTTCCGCCTTCACCCGACGAATCATCAGCGGGGCGAGGATTTTGTGCATATTCGACATCACTTCCTTGTCTTGGTGCCCACTGGCGGAGTCAAACCACTCATGCAGGGTATCCGAAATTTCAAAAAGCCGCGGCGAGAGAAAATGCAAAAGCGACCAGAGTTCCTTGAGGTTGTTTTGAAGCGGCGTCCCCGTAATAATTAGACGATGAGAGGTTTCCAGCGAATTCAAGAGCGCATGCGCGCGGCCCTCCTCGTTTTTTATTTTATGCGCCTCGTCCACGATGAGGTACTGCCAGTGGATCTTTTTGAAAGTCCGAATCTCCTCCAGGACCATTTCAAAAGTCGTCACCACCACGTCATAGCGGAGTTTCTCGGGCGGGGAGAAATGCGATTTAATCAATATCGGCCGTAGATCGCTCGAGGCATGAAATTTGTACACCGAGAGGGCGGGGCACCAATGGCGAAACTCGCGATACCAATTTCCCATAACTGATTTCGGGCATACCACCACATGCGGCCCGGGAAGGCCTACGGTGAATTTCAGATACCCCAGCATCGCAATCGTTTGAAACGTCTTCCCAAGCCCCATCTCATCCGCGAGAATTCCATTCACCCCACGGGAAAAAAGCCCCAACAGCCAGTTCACCCCTTCAATTTGATAGGGCCGGAGAGTTCCGCGGATGTAGGAAGGGGTTTCTGTTAAACGCGGGACCTCAAACTTCATGGTGTCCTCGTTCGTATCCCATTCCTTCGTTCGATAGCTAGATTTACGATTTTGGCCCGACGCGCCGCGAGAATCGCCTTCCTCCCACTCCCGCATGCCGGTACAATACTCAGTTTCGCATAAAATGCGATCAAAACGGGAGCGTTTTTGGTGCTCCGGGCAGGTGTGCAGGATGCGCACGATCTTCTCGCGTTTGTGATGGATATGATGGAGGAATTCCTTGTGCAAAGCAGTGATTTTGGCCTCCCGAGCCGGATCGGAGACGGGATCCACGTAACCTTCGAAAACCTCGACGGCCTCTTCCTTGTTCGGGTCATTGCCGCTTCGAATATACCGAAAAAGGATCTGCTCGTAGAGGTCATCCGCGGCGAGATCGTTGATTTCGCGCTCGAAATTCGTGACCTTATGCAGGTCTTGTCGCTGTCGTATTTTTCTGAATGTTGACATCGCACGTTCCTCTGTATTACTATTATTTTATTTACTATATATATATATTAATAAAAAGAGAGAAAGAGGGAATGATCAATATACATTAGGGTAAAAATAGAGAAAAACCAAACGACTGGAAATTCCATCGGGTTCCAGAGAGTGAAGTAATCTACACGGAGGGAGAGGTCCTGAAACCCCAATACAATATCATTTAACCGAATTTGAAAGGCCAAGCCTGGTGTTACAATGAGATAAGGCTCGATTAGTAACTTTTATTTTTATGTTAGATTCAGTACCTCTTCAAAGGAGGAGAAAAAATACACCAACCTTTGAAACCCCCATGCCAAAACTATAGCAGCAATATGACTTCTAGGATGAATCATGAGAGAATCTCTCTAGGAGGCAGATGATATAGAAATAAATAAATAACAGAACTGGAAAAGGTTTAACCCAAAGTTGTGATATCGCCCATTCTAATGCTCTATTTATAAACCCACCGCTATATCTTTATCTCTTCTTTTTATTTCTATGGATATAGGTTTGAGAGAAAAAGGAAAGCAACACCTGGCGCCAACCTTTCCCACTGGTGATACTTTGGTGTAGAAAAAAAAATGGACCTCTTCCATTCTTTCTTCACCAATCATCGACTACCCCAAAGCGGTCAAGCAAAGTTTGCTGTTCGCACAGATCTTTCTGAACCTTTTTACGGGCGTAAAACACAGGACAATCCCTGCTTGTGCAGATCACCTCCTGATTTAACGAGCCCTGGCATTGTTGGCATTGCGTCCAGACCTGGGAGTAAATCGCCTCGTAGTGGTTTCGCTTGGCCATAATCCGGCCATAAATTTCCGGCGAGCGATCGGTGCACTTCGGGCAGAGCGCGCTTTCCGCGCCGTTGTTTTCCTCTCGTAAAATGGCCCGACAGGAGACGCACTGGGCGTGAAGTTTGACAAATTTCATCAACCCACTTGCGTTTTTGCTCGGTGCCGCGATCGCGATATGCCGGGTGTGGTCGCCATTAATTAAAATCCGAGGATCCTCCAGAACGGCCTCAAAAACGCGCTGGAGGGGTTGCGCGAGTTGGTGCTCGAGGTAGTGCTGGGTATCAATCGGGATATTATTCTCCAAGACATAAATCGGATCCTCACTGCGTTCGTAGGCCTTCGCGCCTTTTTCCGCTTTGATGATGACGTAGGCCACGCGATCGCCGATAGTCGGCGCCGAGGCCGGATCCCGCTGCCTCATTCGCTCCACGAGCTTAATATGGGCCTGGGCCCCGACATATTCATCCTCCCACTTCGAAAACGCCTTTGTGATGACGAGATTGGAGATATCCAGACGATTGAGCAGGAGATCGCTAATCGTCCCTTTCACAAACTCCACCGCGCTCTCCACGGAGCGGTGGATAAGGATGCGGTTGAGCACCCCACTAATTACGCGGGCCACCAACGGGCAGTTATCCCGCCGGACCGTCTCGATGCCCTTCGCGTCCAACTTATCGTAGGTCTCCGTATTCGTCCACAGCAACCCGGCATAGCGCTTTTTGTTCATCAAAAGATAGGGAAAGTACACCTTCTCGAACTCCAACTTAATCGGCTCCAGGAAGTGTTGGGAGACGCGGTGGGCGGCCTCCTTGCCAAAATTCATCGCATCCTGCAAGCGCGCTTTGTCCGGCGCGCTTTCGTCGGTGAGGCATTTAATCATCACGGAATCGGTATCCCCGTAAAGCACCTTCGTCCCGGGGTATAATTCCTCGACGAGGTTCTTCGTTTGGTCAATCATTTGACGACCATACGCGGTCGTCGTTGAGCTGATCTCCAAACACGGAAGCTTGCCGAACTGTGCGCCGGTAAACCCGTAAACGGAGTTCGCGCTCACCTTGAGCGCGAGCTGGCGACCGTTTAGCACTTTATGTTCGAGGGAATTCATCGGCCAATCCTTCATCATCGCGCGAGCGCGTTTACGCGCGGCGAGCAAATCCTGAAGAATCTCCGGAAGCACCCCCGGGAAGAGCTCTTTTTTCACAAACACGTCGCCGCTTGGCGAGCGCTCCAGCATCTCTGGCGGGTACGCCGCGACATCCTGTTTGGGAACTAACGTCGAATAGCATAGGTTGTGCGCGATCATAATAGACGGATACAGCGAGGCGAAGTCGAGGGTGGCGACCGGGCAGTTATAAAACCCTTTAACGGGTTCAATTACCGTCGCCCCTTCATAGCCGCGATCGTTTCCGTTGTCGTAGTCCATAGAGGGGATCACCAAATTTCGTTTTCCCGCCTTCCGAAGCAGCATGGAGAAAATTTTTATCTGTTGACCTCGCTCCAGCAGCCACCCGATCGGCACCCCGGTTGCTCTTGCCATCTCTACGTTATTCACAATGCACATCAAACGATCCAGCAACTTGACTGGAAGATAAGCGTCTTTCAAACAGTAAATCGCCAAACGACGGCGGGTTTCGTCGTTCCCGTCATGAAGATCCGAGATGATGGAGTGATGGACATCCTCCTTTTGCTCACCGAGAAAGTGCTGCGAGACGGCGTTGAGGGAGTACGAGCGGAGCTTGTGGTCGCGCTGAATCACCACCATCGCGTCCATGATAATCCGTCCCTCCATGGTGATCTCGGTATACCGGCGATTCCCCATCTGCTTGGACATAAATTTCTTATCGCGAGCGACCGTGCACTCGTGAATTTGGCGCCCCCAGAAGTGAAACCGCTTATCCACCCGAAGCACCGATCCCCGGTTCAGCAAGTAGGGAAGGTCAAAATTGCAGATATTATACCCCGTCAGAATATCCGGGTCGACTGTTTTCAGGAAGCTCACCCACTCCACTAGCATATCGCCCTCTGTCTCGTAGGTGTGGACGTCCGCCCCCGCGATCGGCGCGCAGCCCTTGAGGCAAAACACCGCGCGGACCAGCGGGGTCGCCTCACTGCCGTAGGCCACACAGTGATTGCAGATCTGTATGACCGGGTCCTGCTCCGGCTCCGGAAAGAGCCCTTTCCGCCCTTTACACTCGATATCCACAGAGAGAATGCGAAAAGGCGCGATGGCGAGGTATTCCCCACTCGGCTCATGGTTTTGGAGCGCCTCATAGGAGCAGACAACCTCGATCTGCGCGGTGGACGTTTTCGCCGCGGCGAGGCTGAAGCTGCCACGCGGGAGGGTCACCCAATTACACCCCCCGACCCCCCGGTCGACCAGAAAGCGGAGCGGGAACGGGACGTTGCTTTCGAAGGTCGGGAAGAGGCGTCGGCCGTGCCAGGCCGCCGGGCACTCCACCCCGGCCTCCGCGAGGATGGCCCGCAGGCGGGGGATGTTCTGGGGCAGCTGCACCACC